TACACGGGGCCGATACGAATCCAACAGGGCAATGAGCAATTGGCCCCCAGCGCAGTAGGGGCTTTGCTTTGCTGCCTCTTCCCGTTCTATGGTGTACTAGTAAGGAAGGGGAGAGCGCAGGCTCGAGGATAGGGACTCAGGACGCCTGGGTTCCCTCCTCAAACCCACCCCTCCGGACTCGGGGTATGGGGCTCGCTTCCGCCCTCCCGAGCCTGGGGCACGGTGACACCACCCCTCCCCCCACCCTCCTGGGTGAGGAGGCGCCGGGAGACCCCTGCGGTGAGGCGGCCTGGTGCTGGCCCGGGGAGGCCGTCACTGGAGCCAGGTGCTGCCCCAGCCCAGCCCGAGGGCCTTGCGCGGGCTCCTCCAGTCGCGGGGTGTCAGCCTGTGCATACACTTGCAGCAGGAGTGGGAGGCAGTAAGGAGCATGAAGCCAGTGGGAGCAAATGGGAGGAATGGGTTACATAGTAGGGGGCTGAGCTAAGTTAATGCTGAGATAGACAACAGGGCTGGGGTTTGGTCACCCCCAGCGCAATCATTCCCAGCCTGAGGCTGTTCCTTACCCCTTTCTTCAGCATCCAATGGGCCTCTCCTGCAGGCGACTTCAACTTTTATCTTCTCCCCGCCACCAGGTCGTTTCCTGGCAGCTGGTTTGTCTCTTTCACACTGGTCTCCGTGCGTTTGCGGCAGATAAGGAGCTGCTGGTGAAGCTCAGGAAGAAAACTGGTTATTCCTTCGTGAATTGTAAGAAAGCCTTAGAGAAGTTCAGTGGCGACTCCAAACAGGTGAGACCTCGCACTGAATTTCAGTGCGATTTGGGTACCTAACTCCCTTAGGCTTCTTTCAAAATGTCAATTTGCGTGAGTTTAGACTGGAATTCCTACTTGGGTGGGGGGAGGGTGGCGCACTGCATTCAGGTGTATAAAAACAAAGGAAGGATATATTTAAAACCAAGCGGTTCCTCTTACTTACCTCAGTCCATACTAAAGGAGATGGCGCATAGATACCAAGGCAATAGGTTTCATTGTGTTTCTGTTGTAGTCGTTATGTAGGATTCTCTCCAACGGGCATTGATTATCGAAAGCTTGATTTTTAAAAAGGTCTGGATAATGTTGTGATCTCTATAGCTGTACAAGCTGACACTGAAAGATGCATGGGGAATTTAGTTTCCTGCTCTCAAGGCATAAGTAGATCAGCGGCAGAAGGTCAGAAAGACGACATCCCTAATACATACAAGATAATGCTTGGAAATCCACCCAAAACATATTGCCAAACTCATCAATGTCATCCTCACCCCCAAGAACATCACATTTAACAACACTGTCCAAACGAGGGGAACAGCCATGGGTTCTGGTGTGGCTCCCCACTTTACCAACCTCTTCATGGACCGCTTCAAGGAAGAATTTCTGGAAAAATGCACCATGAAACCAACAAAATATCTGAGATACTTCAATGATATTTTCATCCTCTGGGCAAAGATCTAAATTCCCTTAATTTCCACCACAACTTCAGCAACCACCACCCATCCATCAAACTCTCTAGAACGCACCCACACGAACATCAGCTTCCTGGACGCCACAATCCGCGTCAACAAGGGGATCCTACTAACAGCTTTATACAAGAAGCCACTGATCACCATGCAACGCAACCGCTGCAGACACACCAAAAAATCTGTTATCTACAGCCAAGCACTCCGTTACCACAGAATTTGCTCCAACGAGAAAGTCTGGAATACACACCTAAACACACTTAAAGTTGCTTTCGCTAAACAAGAACACTCTCCCAGCAAAGTAGATCGTATCATGGAAAGGGACATCCAAATACTCTGGAAGAACCTGCATCAATACATGAAAAAGAAACCCACTGACCTCACCTCCCTAGTTGTCACCTACTACCCCACACTGGAACCACTATAGGTTATCATCAAACAAGTACAACCCATACTTGATGGGGACCATGTCCTGAAAGAAATGTTTCCTGAACCCCCTCTTCTGGCCGTTAAACAACTCCCAAGCCTTGCCAAACTCATCATCAGAAGCAAGCTCCCCACAGACCAGGGTGGATAAAAATCAATGATTTAAAAAAAAATCAGTATTTTTTTTTTATTTAAATTGGATTTTTTGATCATTTTTTTCCCTCAAAAAGCATCTAAAGATAGATACATTATAGCTCAAAGATATCTCATCATGGAATAGGGATTATAAATTCTAATTCTACAGTGAGACAATTTATTCATGTAATGTTTAAGAAAAGTTTTGTAAATGAGCTCCATTAGTTCATGGATTAGGGATCCAGGGGCTTCTGTATAGATTATTTAGGTTAATCTTTCTATCTACCCAATGGGACTCAGTGCTCAGTCTAGAAGATACCATCAGAGATGCTTAGTTTTGCAGTTCTCAAAACTATGGATTTGTGTCTCCAGAGATAACATGCTTGTTAACTGGAAAAATGTTTTTAAACAAATATATAGAGGTGAGAAATAACAGACCTCAACCCTTTTGTTCCTCTGCAAATTTGTGTGCACAGAGTCAATCCCTTTCCTCTCTCTAAAAGTGCAAAGTTTCAAAAAGTTCAGTGAATAGAAGATGGTTGGGGGCAGAATAGGTCTGGACAAGAAGAAGTCGTCTGGAGATAAATGTGAGAAGGGAGGGACAGGCAGTAGAAACAAAAGTGAAGCTGTTTGAGCAGCGTATTCCAGAATGCACTTTTATGTAGAAATCCATGATTGAATAGAGTCTTCCTGACTCGTGATTGAAATCAATTTGATTTAAATCAAATCCACCCTGACACAGACCAGGACACACCAACTCAAAAGCACCACCAGACCCTGCCAGAACAACAGATGCAAAACCTGCAGATACATCTCCACTGCTACAGTGATCAACATTCCCAGGCATGTCTTTCAAGATTCACAGGTCCTACATATGCCTATTGCAACATGTGCTGTACCCCATCCAGTGCATCAAATACCCCACTAACAACTAGATAGGTGAAACCAATCACTCAGCTCTTGAATGAATTCACCCAGAAAAATGGTATACAACAAAAGCACCATATCACCTGTGGCTGAACACTTCAAAGTGATTACTCCATATCTGATCTTTCAATACTGTCCTCAAGAGAAACCTGCCCAACACCTTCAAAAGGCAAGCCTGGGAACTGAAATTCATAACTTTGCTAGCCACCAAAAGCCATGGACTTACCAGAGATGCTCATTGCGACAATTTGTAACACACCTCACTGCTACTACCCTTAATTGCCCACTTAATGGGCAGCAGGTTTAAAACAAACAAAAGGAAGTTCTTCTTCACACAGTGCACAGTCAACTTGTGGAACTCCTTGCCTGAGGAGGTTGTGAAGGCTAGGACTATAACAGGGTTTAAAAGAGAACTGGATAAATTCATGGAGGTTAAGTCCATTAATGGCTATTAGCCAGGATGGGTAAGGAATGGTGTCCCTAGCCTCTGTTTGTCAGAGGGTGGAGATGGATGGCAGGAGAGAGATCACTTGATCACTACCAGTTAGGTTCACTCCCTCTGGGGCACCTGGCATTGGCCACTGTCAGACAGGATACTGGGCTAGATGGACCTTTGGTCTGACCCAGTACGGCCATTCTTATGTTCAAACCCTTTATGCATAAGAATCTAACCCCCAATCGCCCACTTCATTTCAAGAGACCACCTCCAACATGCATTACTCCTCTTGCTGAACAATCTGTCCCAACTTGTATTTAGCTCAGATGCTCTGCTTTCTTTCTCAGACCTAAAGAAGAGCTCTGTGTAGCTTAAAAGCTTGTACCTTCCATCAACAAAAGTTGGTCCAATAAAAGATATTACCTCGTTTCTCTCATGTCCTGGGACCAACTTGGCTACAAAGGCACTGCAAATAATCATCCCAAATAGGACAGCACCACACAGTTGGTCAGTGTCATGTTGGCTTGGGTTTCTTGCATTTTTTGGAACCATTAGGACGTGGTCTGATCGTTATGGTCTCTCCTATGAGGCTACTTTTCCACTTTCAGTGTTACAAAACTTAGGTCAAGCAGAGAGTTTGGTCTCTGAACTGAGTTTTGTTGGGTTCATCTTCTTGGTTTTGTCTTCAAAGGCTGAAGCCTGGCTGCATGAGCAGGCCCAAAAGGAGGGATGGAGCAAAGCTTCCAAACTGCAGGGCAGGAAGACAAAAGAAGGCCTTATCGGGCTGCTGCAGGAGGGGAACGCGGCAGTGATGGTGGAGGTAAGCTCCTCCCCTAGTGTGTGAGGGACCCTTTCCTTGGGATGGAGTAAGTCGTATTAACCTGGTAACTTCCCCTGTCCCTTGAGCTGGCCTGTGTGCATAAATTCAAATCTTGCAGCTGTGAGTTTAACTAGGTTAAAATATTAAATAGACAAATCTGTCTAGTTAAATCATGATTAACAGAGTGTGTCTGGCATGAATGATACTAAATGGATTCCTTTTAACTGTAGGACTGACTGAGGGTTTGTTTCTGTTTCTAAATAGAATAGTAATAGCCACAGGGAGTTCCTGCTCTGAAAAGGTGGAGGGCTTATTTCTGTCGCATCAGGTTGCTGACTTCCCTGACAGCAGCTCTGACTGCCGTAATGGCCACCCCTTAAGTGGAAGGGCAGCTGTCAGACAATGACTTCAGAATAATCAGCTGTTTCTCTCTACCAGGTGAACTGCGAGACAGACTTTGTGGCCAGAAATGTCAAATTTCAACAGTTAGTTCAACAAGCAGCAACTGGGACAATGTTCCACCATCAAGGCGCTAAGGACCAGTTAACCACATATATCAAGGTAAGCGAGATCTATCTAAAGTACTTATCCTTCCCATCTGACCACCTCTCTTTAATCTATATTTTCCTCCCAACGTCTCCGTGAGGTAGGGAAGTGCTATTGAGACACAAAGATATGGTGGCCTTGTCTGCCCTTTGCCAATATAGCTCTGCTGGCAGAGCCCCCTAGTGGAGACTCACCAGAGGCCGACAGAAGCACTCTTCTAGCAGCACAGTTGTGCCTACATCATAGAATATCAGGGTTGGAAGGGACCTCAGGAGATCTAGTCCAACCCCCTGCTCAAAGCAGGACCAATCCCCAGACAGACTTTTGCCCCAGATCCCTAAATGGCCCCCTCAAGGACTGAACTCACAACCCTGGGTTTAGCAGACCAATGCTCAAACCACTGAGCTATTGGGACTTTGATGTTACAACTATGTTGTCTAGGGGATGTGACTTTCTCACACCAACATAGCTATGTCAGCAAAACTTTGAGTATAGGTTTAGAGCGAATCTACACTAGAAAATTAGATCGACTCCGCTACTTCGCTCAGGGGTGTAAAAACCCCACTCCCCTGACAGGTCAGCTTAACTATATCGAAGGCCCGTGTTGCCAGCGTTAGGTCGACAGAATAGGTTTTCTATCGACCTCGGTGCCGCCTCTTGGGTAGGTGGATTTACTACGTCAAATGCATCTCGCTGAAGTGGAATTCTCGCTGACGCTGGCCTAAGACGTCCTTCCCAATCATGCGCGTTCGGCCAAGCCACTTTGCTGGGATACGTCCCAGCGAAGCAGCTATCCCGCCTCAATCCTTGTTTGAATTAGGGGACGTGAGGACGCGCTGGAGGAATTTGTTCTGCGTAATCTCCAATGTGCAGAAGTCGATTGAACAGGAGGCCGTCTGGCGGTGCTGTGTGAGGATACGCCGCGTGAGGCATCTCTTGGAGTTGCTGGGGCGAGGGAGGCTACCGCTCTCCCGGAGTCAGGGGGCTTGCGGCGTAATCCGTTGTCTCTCGTCTCTTTCAGCGTTTCCTGAAGGCAGCTGAGCTTTCTCAACTGCGGACCGGGCCTGCTGGATGTTTACTCAGTGACCAGCTGGCTCTCGCTATCGGTGGGTGCTCTAGTACCAGCTGCCGGTTAGAAGATAGAAATGAGGGAGGCGATTGTGCGGCTTCCGTCAGCCTTGGGCGGGATTGACGGAGAAACCCCTTCCGCTGGCAGGATTCCGCCTTGCGGTCACGGGGCTGGCTGTCATGAGTCGTGTCTGTTTCCAGCCTCGGCTTGTGCCGATGCCTCTGACAGCACTGAGGCTTAACTGGGGACCATTCAATTCTGTGACCTGTCCTATAACCACTCTTGGGCATTCGGAAGTAGTGCTGCTGCAAAGTAGTTCAGAGGGAGTTTTCTGATGTGGGGCATCCCTTTAGGCTACTGCAATGTACTGTCATTCTAGCATTTCTAATAAGCAGTGAGCTAACCAAGCTCTCTTACAGAAAGGGCTTTTCTGTTTTTTTAAATGCCGGGGAGAGGGTCAGATACTGTGGGGACAGGCCTAGTACCTATATTGAGACCACTCTCCAGCCTTAGTCCTTGAGCAGCAAAACTACCAAGGAAACGGACATCTCAAAGGTGGGGCGGGAGAAGGCAGAAAGCCACAGCAAACGGCCCTGCCCCAGAACACTCAGCCTGATCTGTACCTTTAAAAGTGAAATAAGACCTGTTCTTGTTTTGGGTTTCTAAAGGCAAACTTGGGGAGAACATGGCTATCACGAGGGCTGCCTGGGTGGCCGTGCCAGCGACCTTCTACATTGGCTCTTACGTCCATGGGGCGCTGCCAGCGGATAATCCCGCCCTCACTAACATGGCGTTTGGGAAGTATGGTGCCTTAGTGATCTGCCACGCCTCTGAGCAGAGCCAGAAGTCAAACCTTGCTGATCTAGGCCGGAGGCTGGGTCAGCATGTAGTGGGAATGGCCCCTCTGTCGGTGGGATCTCTGGAGGATGAACCTGGCGGAGACACGGAAACCAAAATGCTTGCCCAACCTTTCTTGCTGGACCCCAGCATTACCCTGGGCCAGTACGTGCAGCCCCAAGGTGTGTCTGTGCTGGACTTTGTGCGGTTCGAGTGCGGAGAGGACCCAGAGATCCCAGAAGCGGAGCAGACGCAGCAACGTCTCGCACAGGAAGAAAACTCTTCGTAATCTCACGTCTGCGGCCATGGGCCGGGCATTTACATATCGGATCAGTAAGGAAATAATGATGAGACGGGATCAATAGTGAATTAATCTCACATGTGCTGGACATTTAATACAGGTAACTTTTTTTGCAAAGCATTAAAGGACCTTGGTAACTGTCCTGTACTAAGCCTATGAGGGCATTTTATATAAAATGGGCTGGCCTGTTTATTTCTAGGGAAGTCAGCAGGGAGCGTTGGATCTCGGCTGATGCACAGACTGCTGGAGTCTATATTTAAATAATCTTAACCCTAAGGGGCCAGGATCGAGACCCGCTGAGGTTTAACCATTTAGACCAATATCCATCCACTGATCCCAGACTCTCCTACTCTTAAGCTACTCCCACAAAACCAGACTAGCCCCTTCACTCACATCCCCTCCCCTGGAAAATAACAGTGTAGGGCAGCCAGCTAGCAGTGCTGCGGGGGTGTTGCCTTATGTTGCTTAGACCCACCTGAAGAACAGTTCCTTCCCCTGGGCACACACTATCGTGCCAGGAACCGAGTGATGTCTCAAGGGGCACAAGCTGTTTCTTCAGCAGGTGTAGCAGACCAGGGACATGTACGCTGCCCACTAGGAACAAGGCCCCAGTGCTTGGCTAGCTAGCCGGAGAAGCTTCCACTTTGATTCCAGCCCAAACAGTAGTGAGTATTTGGCTGTACGCAGGACTGCCACCTTCCTCTTCAGCTGGCTCCAACCTCTGATAAAGGGGCTATGATCTTTGCCTGGAGGAAATTGTTTCAGCCTGTAATAGATCTCTGGCCAGGTGTGTCTCTGCTACAGCCACTCCCCTGGAGACAGAGCTGCAGTGCACGAGGGTGCATTTTGAGACCCTGCTGCATCCAATCAAGGGGGAGTCTGATCAGTTACCGGCTGCAGCTGTGACACCTTATAGCCTTGGGGAGCTTGTAACTTGGTGACGCAGTTAAATGCCTGGCTGCTGAGGTGTAGCAGTAGGCGGGGATTTGTGGGTCTTGATTCTGTTTAAGACTCAACATGGACAGAGGCAAGCCTGAAGAAATGGGGGTAAAGAACTTCTTGGCAGGTCCTAGGAGAAATCCACCTGGACACTAGGGACTTAAGTGCAGGCCACAGCGCTCACCCAGTTTTGTCCACCAAGCTTGCTTGGTAGTAAGCATTAAGGCACAACATCTAGTTCATATGATACATCTTTATTTTTAAAAAATGACCCAGGCGGGGAGGTTACAGGCAGAAGACTGGCTAGAACTGGCCCTTCTACTGTTCGCAAACTAGCATCACCTGCGTGAGGTGTCCCTCTGGAGAGGAGATGCTAGCAGGTACAGTTGTCCTGCCAACAGCACTAAAGGTTTGAGACAATTGCTGAAGTTTGAAAGCCGGAGCTAGTGATACGTAGTATTTTGTTTTCCAGCCTCCTGCGCTTGGCCGGCCGGGTGAAGCTGAAATGCAGCCCACATGCCTGGCTGCGCGGCCACAAAGGAAATGACATTAAATGTGTATAAAAAGCTAAACTATCAGCCGATCGAATACACGTGCAAGAGTAAAAACCACCCCCCCCCCTCCTGTCCCTTACTGCATCGGTCCCAGGTGTAGTATAGCCCCGGTAAGCCAGAGCCCACCCCTATGATGTGGGGCTCTGGATGTTTTCTGCCTGTTGGCGGGGTGTGCCATTCTCTTCATTAGAAGAGCCCTTTTTCTTTCTTCAAGTTGATCTGCTTCCAGCTGGGAAGAGCAGCAAATTCCTCCCTCCCGATTCCAAACACAGCCACAAAGTCACTTTCCGAGAGGTAATTCTGGTAGAGAAAAGGCCGGGCAGATTAGCAGGGGTGGGGTGGGGTGCAGTGCGGTGCAGTGGCCGTGGGAAGGTCATTTTGGAACCTAAGGGGGCGTAGCTAGGTAGGGCTGCTTTTCCGTAGAGCCGAGGAGGCGCTGGGCTGGGACTCGGGCTCCGGCAGCGGAAAGCCGGGGCTGCAGACTAGACAGTTACTAAGAGGAGACAGAAGTTCATTGACTCAATGGAAGCCCAACAACCTGCTGGAACTGCCCAGTCCCAGAAGGTAGCAAGAACCAGGGCAGTGGGTACTCGCTTCTCCCCTTAGGCCTCGCCAATAAACCCTCAGCTCCTCCAGGGTGCTCCCGGTGAGAGGGAAGGTTTTCAGGGCTGGATTCCCAAAGGGGTCTAGGTACCTGTTGAAATCAGTGGGAGTTGGGGGGCTAAAGCCCTGCAGGCTCTGAGGCCAAGCGCCCAAGCTTTGGTCCCCAAAGCTCACCTCTTTCTTGGCCGGGTCTACGTCTCCAGGCAATTCCTCGCTCTGGTTGGTTAGCACTTCTAGAGGGTAGAACTGAGCCACGCCAGCACTCTGGGCCCCAGGGCCGGGAGAGAGAGCTGTCCCGTTCAGATCCTACGCAGGAGAAACCCCGGAGCACGTCAAGTTCGCTCGCTCAGGAGAGGCATGGCCCCTCTCTGCTGAGACTTTGGTCCTAACTCAGTTAAGTGGCTGCATGAAAGAGCTCCGCGGTCTAGCTGTTCTTGCTGGGATCCCCTCAATTGCATTCAGTCTCCCTGCAGGTCCCCTTACAGTTTCACGTAGCTACAAGATCCCACGTCACCTGTACCCAGAAATGGGCTCTTTTTGCTATGCACTGTTAAACCGCTGTTGTGTTCTACCCCAGAGGTGGCTGCATTTCTCTGGCAGGGGAAAGCATTCCTACATGTGCCATTTGCAATGTGCTTTGGGATCTCTCTAGTTGGAAGGTGCTAGGTAAACATAGTGGGTTGTCGCTTCAGCTCTGTGAGCACAGCCGTTTGTCTAGGCGCTTAGGGGCTGATTTGTAGCAGTTGTGAGGAGATTAATGGGAGCAGCAGGTGCTCGGTGCTTTAGCGGGGCGGGTGGCTGCCCAGCACAGGGTCTTGCATGAGAAAGGCAGGAAAGACCCAGTGGACATAGGGCACGTAGGAGAGTTTGCCCGCAACCTAGCTATAAGTTGTAAGTATGGGCACAGTGGGGCAAGGAGAGACCAGTTAGGGGCATAGCAGCGTGCAGATTCTCTATTTGACTCCCCAGAGGGCCAGACACCTGCTAACCTGGCACGAGGGGACATGTCCCACCCCATGCTCTGCAGCAGGGGGAGACGTGTGGTCAGTTTGCTTCCTGGAAGTCCTCCCTATCTTTGGCCACCTGAGCCGAATCCCACCCAGTTCCAGCCGCCTCCCTCCCACCCCGCACCACAAACACAACTCACAGCCGTGATCCTGACAACGGCACAAGCATCTCCCAGCTCCTCCTTCAGCTGCTCGTAAGTCTTCCCTTCCTGGAAGGACACAGAAAGCGGAGAACCCCATTAGCCATGGTTATAGCAACAACAGGGAGGGTGGAGTCTTGCCCTGTTCACGGGGAGGTGCCCCAAGTGGGTGCAGGACTGCCCAGCTGTTACCGTACCAGAGCGGGGAACGCCTGTGGTCAACCTGGGAATGCAACTAGAGGAGGAGAGAGCACCTTGAGTGAATCCCTTGTCAGCGAGTCTCCAAAGCCAGAAGGGACCGTTGTGATCATCTAGTCTGACCTGTAATAAGCCAGAGAACTGCCCCAAATAATTCCTAGAGCAGATCGTTCAGAAAAACGGCCAAGCTTGATTTAAAAACGGTCAGTGAAGGAGAATCCACCATGACCCTGGGAAATGGTTCCAGTGGTTAATTACTCTCCCCATTAAAAGCTTTTGCCTTATTTCCTGTCTGAACATATCTAGCTTCAGCTTCCAGCTGGTGGATCGTGTTCTACCTTTCGCTGCTCGAGTGAAGAGCCCATGGTTAAATATTCGTTCCCCACGTAGCTACTCAGACGGCGATAAATAGATCGAGCTCTTTGAGTCTATCACTACAAGGCAGGTTTCAAATCCTTTCATCATTCGCGTGGCTCTTCTCTGCCCCGTCTCCAATTTATCAACATCCTTCTTGGATTGTGGGCACCAGAACTGGACCCAGGATTCCTGCCGCGGTCGCACTGGTGCCAAATATGGAGGCAAAATAACTTCTCTCTCCTCCTACTCGAGATTCACCTGGTTATGCAGCCCAGGATCCCATTAGATCTTTTGGCCACCACATCACACCGGGAGCTCATGTTCAGCTGGTTGGCCATCATGCTCCCCAGGATAGAGTCCCCCACACCGTGAGGATGGCCTACCTTCCTTGTTCCTAGATCTTTACATTTAGCCGTATTAAAACGCATGTTGTTTGTTCGCACTCAGTTGACCAAGCGCTCCAGGCTGCTGGAAATGAGCGACCTGTCCTCTTCTCTGGCCCAGCCTTATTCCTTATGTTGCCTTGACTTTCTCCTCCCCTCTTTACATTCTCCATCTCTCACTCGCGTGGGAACGGAGAGAAGAAACTGGAGACTTGAGTGTGGAGATCAGCCAGGCCTCCAGCCTCCGGGGAAAGGCAGTGGATACTGGGCAGCGGACTCCCCTGTGTGCCTTCAACAATCTCCCCCTTGGCTCCTTATCAGCAACCAAAAAGCCCTCACTGGTCCCTGCTAGTCTAAGGCTCCGTTTCCTTTTCCCCAACTGCTCAAGGCCAGGCCCTGTGTTAGCAGAGAGGAGAGGCAGGTGCCCTGGACTGTGCATTCTGATCCAGAGTAGCAGATGAGCATGAGAAACCCTGCCCCGTCTCCCGGCTGGAGCCACCCGCCCCACTCTCCCACCAGCGTGCTGTGCCCAGGCTTCCACCTTATTTATACTCACGCTCCATTTGTGTGGGTCCCAGGCTACGAACCACCCCGTGAAGTTGGGGGGCTCAAAGCCCTGCTTGACCACCAAGATGGGCGTGTCAGTGTCCCTCCCGCTGGGGTGGGTGTGGAGATATTCCCAAGCAGTGGCCAGCGCTGCCTCCTTCTCCGTGACGTTAGCGTCCGTCCCGAGCCACAAGAAGACCTGCAAGGGGAAAAGTCTCACTGGTCAGTGGAACGCAAGTTAGCCAGGCACGGGAACGTAGGGTTACCATCCGTCCGTATTTCCCCGGACATGTCCGGCTTTTGAATCGCTAAATAGCCGTCCGGGAGGAATTGGTAACAAGGTTAAAAGGTCCGGGGGTTTTTTCTCCCTCGCCTCCCTCCCTCCCTTCCATGCAGAGTGCGGCTGCTGATTGGGCGGCTGGGCCGATTGACCAGCTCCCATTGGCCTCCAGCAGCCACAGCCCTCCCCTGCTCCCCCGGCCCTCTTGTGTAACACACAAACCGACCCACCGGGCAGCGTGTTTTGCAAACACGTGGACCCAGAATGGTAAGGGGGGTCCGGGGGGAGCAGTCAGGGAGCGGGGGAGTGCTGGATGGCCTCCACCTGCCATCCCCCTCCACGCGTCCCCCCTCCCCCGTGGACCCCTCCTCCCTGCCTGCCTCTCCCTTGTCTGCTTGTACTGCCAGAGCCAGCAGCAACTGCTGTCTGCTGCCCCCGGGTCCTAGTGCCCCCATCCACTAATGGGAAGACAGGCTGCCCTTACCCTGCCCTTCCACCCTAGCCCTGAGCCTCTCCAACGCCCCAAAACCCTCAGCCCCAGCCCTCATCCCCCCACACCCTAATCCTCTGCTCCATCCCTGAGCCCCCTCCTGCATCATGAACCCCTCAGCCCCAACCCTCACCCCTGCATCCCTTCCTATCCCCAAACTCCCTCCCAACCCCCCTCCCCCTTCCCACACACCCCCTCCTGCCCTCAAACTCCCTCCCAAAGCCTGCACCCACTCCCTTTGCACCGCCTCCCACCCCCAAACTCTATCCCAGAACCTGCATCCCTCCTGCACCCTAATCCCCAGCCCAGGACCTGCACCACAGACCTCCTTCCCCCATCCAACCCCCCTCCCAGAGCCTTAGGCAGGTGTGTGTGTGGGGGGGGGTTCTGGGCACCACCAAAATTTCTACAACCGTGCCACCCGTGTGAGTG